TATATATATTATTATATTTGTATANATATATATATATATATATATATATATATATAGTTTATACATATATACATATATACATATATACATATATACATAAATATATAGATATACATATGTGCGTGTCGTTATCATACATCCTCCGCCCACTTTGATCGCTAACAACCCAAACCCACCCCACCGGTTGCCATGCCAACAGACTCAGACGGCGTGTGCCTGCCCGACGCTCCTGGTCTATTCGGGTGTCCGCTGTATGAGCAGTCAGTCTTCTGCACTGTTGACATTCCAGAGAATGTCACTGAACTCTGCCCAATGGCGTGTGAGGCGGCGTCGAAGTGTGTGGTGAGTCATGCATTTGTACGGAGATGCGGGTAGCTGGTAGCTGGTAACTGGTAGTATGGTAAACACGTGGTCGTGAATAAGAAGAACAGTACATGTGTGTGGTAAGTGCAGATGTGTGTGATAATACTACCCATATTACACACATGTAGATGAATGTGATGATAAGAAATATGAATAACATACGTGGAATACGGGTAGATATACGTGATAATAATATACACCTATGTAGATATATGTGTTAATAGTAAAATGCGTGCAATTTGTGTGTAATATGGGTACATATAAGTGATAATAATATACACATATGTAGATATGAGTGTTAGTAATCAAATACGTGTATACGTGTATAATATGGGTACATATATATGTTAATAACACGCCCATATGTAGCTATATATAGTAACAACATACACAAACTAAACCTCTAAACCTACCCAACGTATCCCACACACTCATCGTACGCTTGCCAACAACAGGATCCACAAGACGGAGTTCAGGCAACGTTCTACTGTGACGCCACCACGTGTACGTCACCTGAATCAGCTACGCTCATCGAATGTTCCCAGCGACTGACTACGTCCAACTGCAGGTGGGTGTGATACAAATAAAATGGTAGGTATGCTATAAGTAGAATGGCAGGTATGGCACAAATACAAGTTAGGTATGGCATGGATCAAACTGGAAGTATAGTATAAATAGAACTGAACTGTAGGTGTAGTACTATACATATCTATAAGAAAATAGGTACACTATGAACCAAAACTGTAGGTGGGCATAGCTATAGGTAGGGTTGTAGGTAGGCAAATCTATAGGTAGGGCTGTAGGTAGGCAAATCTATAGGTAGGGCTGTAGGTGTTCACAACGGTTATCTCCTTCATACACTGAGTATTGTATCAAAAGTTTCAATCCGTGTTTCTGTGGCACAACCCACTTCGAGTACACTCCGGTTAATAGCAATACGTAAACCTCAAATGTACACCCGTCCATTTACGTTGTACTTGTACCTCCGTCACAGACCTTCTACGGGTACTTGTACTTCAACCACAGCCACACACATGTACACAAACACACACACGCGTACGCATACACACCCACTTGCACACATGCACACTCACGTATACACATGCACACTCACGGATACACATATACATCCGCTTATATCTCCATCCCCGCCACACAGCATGGACGTGATCCTTGAGGTTGAAGCCATCATGGGGTGCAGCTGCTGCTTTGAGAAGGTGTGTGGGTGTGTGCCTTCTCCGACCACCATCAACTACCTCAGACGCACCGCCGAGGCCGTCGAGGGCTTTACAGACCCCCTCAGTTGCCCTATTATTTCGCCGTTTAGGCCCCAGGAGGAGAATGACGATGACGATGACGACGACCAGGATGATGACGAGTCTGGTAGGTAGCGAGACGGACTACGTAGCTGGTGGGATGGGCGGTGGATCTCAGATATAAGGGTTTTAGGGTTTTAAAGTTTTGAGCGTGTGCATCTTGCGTACGTCTAGAAACCACAGCGCTACACGGCATATGCCCTTAAGCCTTTTAGTTATGTGTTGCTAACGATAATAGAGTTTACCAATAAAATAGATTATGATTGTATTCTATTTTTAGAATTAGATTGAGATTGTATTCAACCAAGTGTAAGATGCACGGCACGCCTTCAAGCTGGAGTTTATTAATAAGAGTAGATTAAAATTGTATTCTATTTTTAGAAATAGATGAAGAATACATTCTATTTTTAGGAATATATTAAAATTGTATTCTATTTTTAGAAATAGATAAGTAACATATTCTATTTTAGAAATAAACAAAGAACATAATCTATTTTTATATATAGATAAAGAACATATTCAATTTTTGGAATATATCAAAAATTTATCCTATTTTTAGAAATAGATAAAGAACATATTCAATTTTTAGGAATATATTAGGAATATATACTATTTTTAAAAAGTAGATATAGAATATATTCTATTTTTAGGAATATATTAGGAATATATACTATTTTTAAAAAGTAGATATAGAATATATTCTATTTTTAGGAATATATCAAGAATATATTCTATTTTAAAAATTTGATCTAGATTATATTATATTACGACCGTGCTATTCTATAAGGCACACATATATTTTACATTCATGTGCAATATATATATGAATGTCAATATACATTTACATTCGTAAATAGCAAATTCATATTGATGTTAACTGATAAATGTATGAATGTCAATATACACGTACGTATACACATGAATACGACATATATATATACAGTGAATGTATATTCCATATTCATATATATGTGTTCTACAGAAAAATGACAAAATACAGCTACACGCACAGGACAC